TTTCAAAAATTGTTTTTCCCATGAGTCACTTGGACACAAAAAAATGTGCTAAAATAGGATCCAGGTTGAAAAATACCAAGCCAACACTTTAAGGTTACAGATAAGCTCTACAGTAAAAAAGAGAGCACTCACCCAGCAGCAGAAACCTTGCCTTCAACCTCCATGTCCTGGGACAAGCCCTTTATTATGGCGTCCTCTAGTGGTGAGTGTCCTCTACTGCACTTTGATCGGAGCTCAGAAACAGAGGGGAACTGCTGTGCAGCCTCTGTCTCCTAGGAAAAATGCAGTAGTGTGCTGTATATGATAAATGTCATGCAGCGGATACTCTATCACTGTTGGTATAAAATATAAAACAATCCAATGCAACAGCTCTGCAACCAACTGTACCTTTGTTAAGTTAGTAATGTTCCGTTCTGTCAGAGAGTTGTTGATTCAACTCTACAGTTATGTCTCGCACTGCAGTCTGGGGTGTTGTTGTATTGCACAGTGTTATATTCTAAGGCGTTCATAGTATTTATCTCCACAATATACAACTCTGGACATATAATATACACAAGATATGTCAAAATATTAAGTACACCATACAGTATCATACAATGCAAACTAATACAACAATTGAAACTCTGCAAACAACATCCTCACAAACAACCACTTTTCTTTTTGCTTTCAGTGATACTGGGTCCATTATACCTTATATATATTTTGTATATATATTATACGGTTTAAAAGTAAAACCGGAACACTCTAGCCAATATTCTCACTCTTTTATGTAAGTAAAAGAAGAACAACTCACTGAGCTCAGCTCCTGCTCTGCTTGCTTTTCTGAAAAAAAAGATAAAACATGTGAGGCATCAATATGCCTGAATAGTATCCTGTGTGTCTGTTTACTGTACTGAGATTCGTAAAAATGTCTGTCCTTTATCACATACTGCTAACAGGACTATTTTTGCCTATTTATCTATGCTCTCTCAAAGCCGCCAAAATCCTTTGACAAAAACAGTAATTTTACCTTGCAGAACATAGACGTTGCTGGTCTACTGCTGCCTTGATCGATTAGTTAGTTTGTGTTATTGTGTGACTTTTGGATCCAAACTAATGTGACATTGTATCATCTCTGTATTTCGCTGCACTTTACTTTTTATTTGTTTTTGTGTATTTTGCATTGTTACCTGTTATTGTATTTTTTGTATTTTATCTTGTGAAGCACTTTGTGAGTCCTCTCTGTGAGAAGTGCTATGTAAATAAAATGTACTTACTTACTTACTTACATCCACAGCAGTACATTGCTCAGCTTCCATGCCAGTTAGAGGAATATCACTAATTTGGTAGATCAAGAACAAACAATTCCCAAAGATGATTCATCTCAAAAAAGTCCCATTAGGCAGGCTAGTGGGATTTATATGTAGCACCATCATCATGCAGAAACCTACGTCAGGTTATGTGGAAGAAAGTTCTTAGAAGAGCTTGGCAAAAAAGCATTTTAACGCTAGAACATACGTACTTCAACCAAAATTTAAATGTTCAGAATTGAATACATGGAGAATACTAGTGGAAAGCTGCAGAATGATATAAACCTTGAAAAATAGTAATGATAATATTAATGCACGTGCACTTTAATTCTCACAGTATGTGCTACTATTGCTGTTGAACCACATCTCTTTCTTGATGATGACAATCAGTTCAAAAACTAATGTACATGTCCTTGTACTGACAGCATGTAATGCCTTCCAAATACAAGATGTATCTTGTGACTAAAACTGGATAGGCTGTGAGGTTTTTTCATGTGTGTTCATCCTTACCATTCTGCATGTTTTTCTCCAGGTAGAGAATAATGCTAAACGGGTAGGCTCTCTGCTTCCTCTCGCCATGCTTTCGCACCACCTTAGACACTCCCCTCCACCGCTTTTTATCTGATAGTTACAGTTAACAAAATAAGGTGAACTACGAGTCAATAAATATTATAATGGTGTGCAAGTAGGGGATCAGTAGCTGATCTGTATTCTGCAGTAAAGTGATTTAAAGATAACAAATACCAGCACCAGCATGCACTACAGTGATCTAAACACTTAATATTAGTTGTTAACTTTATTCAATGGGATCCCCACTTTGTCTTATTCCCTGTCACTGCAACCAAAAACTAAAAACTGGTGACCTTTTGTCCATTGAATATTAGGATAAGTAGAAAGCTGACAGCCAAAAAAATACGCTGATGAATAATTAAACTGATGTAAAGGATACAAGGGTAGACACTGAAGCGGGCACTACTGAAGGGTTGGAGATTGTCCAGGTTGCCAATAACAGTTCTGATAATTTCCTGAAAACAGAGAAGAGAAAGTATGAAAATGAATTAAAGAGAGAAAGAGTGCTATGAATGGTGAGAGGTCAGAATGAAGGAGTATCCATAATTACCTCCAGTTCCTCATCGAGGCTGTCTCCTCTTATAACTTCTTCTCTTCTGATGAAATATATTGTTATACGCATTATAATATGTTCACAACATGTGTATCTTGAAACATGTGGTTATACAGTACTAGCAGTTAAAGCTTGGTAACTTTGTTAAAAAGATACGCAATAAAATGCTTTGACCGTTGAGGGTCCAAAATATATTGTATAGTGTAAATGAAAGAGTCTTCTTTGGCTTCAAGGCATTCGAGGATCAGTTAGAACTCTTATTCTGAGATGTTATCCCTGAATAAAGGCCGACAGATCCTGTGGAGCCTCTGTTTTTGCAGATGAAACAAAACGTCAAAGACAAACTAAAATATCCATCCAAATAGCCATTACAGGCAGCGTTGTTAAGAGAATGGAGTTAAAATAGGGAAAAAAGATTAATGTTTCCTCCTTTGTCTGAAGCTCAGCCATCTCCCCATCTGGTTCTTTTTTAGATTAAAGAGCATTTTGCAATACGTTGCAAAACTGAATCTTGAGCAGAAAAAGGGGAGGAGTGCATGGAAACAGCCAATAAGTAAATGCAATATCGATCAGTCGTCTCTGTCTTGCTGATATATGTTTGGCTTATGGATTTTGAGCTTGTGCTTTTTTGCTGTGCTTTTAAGAAAAAGAATTACCCAAATCTGTAGCTGCTCTAATCCAGAGCTTACTCTCTATTTTAAATTTGGTGTCACAATGTTTTCCTTTTTCTCTCGAGCTATTTTAGGTCTTGTGGGATTTGCACTTGTTAGGTTAAGGTAAAATTAAATTATTTCATCTCTGGTTCTAAACTCATTTCCAGTGATGCACTGAAGTATGCTCATCCCGGTTTGGAGAAACATCATGCAAGGTGTGCAACTAAAGCTACTTCACAAAATGTAATTACTTGCTTACTACTTGCAATTAATCCTATCTCAAACTTAATTTGTGGTGGTACCCTACTTATTCTATCCCTGTCTTCTCTTTATGTTGGATCTCCTTTTGGCTAAGCTTTGAGTTATGGGATAATTTCGGTATTTTTCAGCCTGGGCCCTGTTTCCCACATGTTTGTGTCCACGTGTCTAATGGGAACAACATTTTTTGAAACTGGTCCTAGTATTGAGTGAGTGGGCAACATCACTTGGACAATTACACATCCTCAATGTCTACTTAAAGTGCTTGTTTTGCCACGGAGGGGCTCAGATTATTCCAAGTGTCTTACAACATTATGGAAAGGATCCCTACAGGGATAAACTTTTGTGCTAAAGAGTACGAACCTTTTTGTGTGACCCAAAACAGCCATGAAATTGCTATCCCCAAACCCACCAGACTCCATTTAATAAACAGTAATTTTAGCGTGTGTATAAAACCAACATATTTTCACATCTAACTAGATGAATAAGGTTTTATTTCTATCAAACCAGAGTTTGTGATTGATAGAACTGTTAAAGAATAACTAAAATGACTTTCATGAGTTAATTTTGTTGTGTGGACTTTTAATGAAGTGTGTTTACATGATAAAATCGCTGTTAATTTAAATGGAGTCCGGTGGGTTTGGCGATGGTGATTGTTAAACAAAAAGGATCTTACTCTTTAACAAAAAAGTTCTATCTCTGTAGGGATCCTTTCCATCATGTTCTCAGACACTTGTAATAACCTGTCAGTGGCAAAAACAAGCGCTTTTAGTGGATGTAAATTGATGATGCACAATTGCCCCATATGATTACATTGCATCCTGTTTCGCTGCTGCCAGCTGCAGTGGTCTCACTCAATACTAGACAAAAACTGCTGTTGCCATTCATCACTTGGACACCAAAAAATGAGAAAATAAGGTCCAGGTTAAAGAAATACCAAAGTTACCCTTTAAACAGCTAGACTGTGTTGACTTGCTCTAACTTGATTGAAAGGGAACACAATGGAGGAAGGAAGAAATGATATAAATTATAAAGATAAGGCTGTGGAGATGTAAAGAACAATGTCTGTCTTGCCTGAAGCTGCTGCCTCCTTTAATCTTGAACTGGTAGATGAAACTATTAGCTTTGAAGAGTCGAGTTTGGGGGAAAATGAGGGAGAAGGCCTGCAGTGGCATGGCTGACCTAATATGGTTTGGGCAACAAAATCAGAAAAACAGATTAATTAACGGACATAATTAAATTAAAATAAGAATACATGGCAACATCAACTGAAATGTTTTATGCTAGCTAACACTGTCAGCTAGCTTTGACAAAATTTAGATACTAAGCCTGCTAAAACCGTCCTGTAACAACTGTTAGAATATTTTGGTCCTTTCCCTCGCTTTAAATTACCGTAATGTCTACAGCAAATTGCGAGTATGAACTTGGCAGGTTGTCCAGCAGGCTAACTTCTCTCCCCTCCAGGACGTCAACAGTTAAAGGCGTTACCGTCAATCAAACCGTTGACTCGTCTCGTGATTCGCCAGACACCGCGAACTCCCGCCTTTTCGTCGCTTGGCCTTCTTTGATTAGCTAGCTCTTCTTCCAATCAGCGGCGTCAGAGAAGGTGTCACTATGGTGACGGCTAAAACCACCCAAACTGTCACATGACTGTCAGCTGACTGCGCGTAGAAGGAAGTAGCAGTTGTAAACGTTCCTCGACTGGAGAGTTACCAGAAGACGGGTTACGTTTGTCTTTTTGTGTACATGACTTTCTGTTCACTGACATTTTTTCTTCATTACGTCAGGTCTTTACCCATTTATGCTCCTCCCCCTTAAAAGAATTCACCTCAAAGGGCCCAAAAGGTGAGTTGAATATATGAATTATCTTTAACAGTGGCATTTAATGGCGTTCCGACCCAGTCTGCTAGACTGTGTAATGTAACAGCTGTGACGTTTCTACGTCGTTATAAATACTGCGTCATCACATGTCAAATTCAGGATCTAGTTGTTTATTTTTAATATTTAATCTGGATCAGAATGGTCCACATTTTGACATCCCATGTTTTGCTTCCCCAAATCACCTAACCCATTTTACTTTTGCGCCGGTGTTTCAAAGCAACATTGGACTGGATCACCCTGATCCAGATACAAACTTTTTAAGATGTCCAAACCCAGATTATCATGGGACTACATGTCACAACGTCAGCAGTCTGCCACCCCATTACAATTACCACTTGTCGCCATAGGTGCCTTAGTTAATGCTTCATTGTGATGGCCAATGTTCTAGCAATGTAACATTGTAATAACAGCCACAGATTGACTTTGCAATGTTCCACCACTGCAAACTGTCACAATGGTTATACTTAAGTATATTTTCAACACTAATGATATGAAAAAGGTGGAAAAAGGCAATTGAAAACCTGCAGAAATCTGTATTACATGTCAGTACTAGAGCCGATACATACATCATGCTATACATTCATACATACATCTTTTGGTATTCAAGAACATCTCCCATTTATTCCTCACTGGACTCTTTCTCCTTCTTAACAGTGTTGGGTAGACCAACTAGTCCAGCAGAGTATACAGAAAATAAGTGCCTTCAGACCAGATGTCTTCGTCCCCCACTAACCCTTCTGTCCTCCTAAATACGGGGGTTCAGATGCCCATTCTGGGCTTGGGGACCTACAAGTTAGTGGGTCCTGGAGATGTCTACCGGGCTGTGGACGCAGCGCTGGATGCTGGTTATCGGGCCTTCGACAGTGCAGCTGTCTACCGCAATGAAGCTGACCTGGGCCGAGCCCTGAAGGAGCTCCTGCCCAAACATGGCTTAACCAGAGAGGATGTGTTCATAACCAGGTGACGTTTATAGGTTGTATCCACATGGCTGAATGCATTTATATTACGTTGCTTTGGATGAGAGCGTCAGTCAAATAAATGTTAGGTAATGTCATGTACAGTAGGCTTTCTTGTCCTCTAAGAGAGAGGGGACTGAAGCTCAGTCATGTTTGACTCTCAAACGCACAGTGTACAATTTGCAACAACCCTTTCTTTGTTATCCGCACAGTAAGCTGGGCCCCAAGGATCAGGGTGACAGAGCCATGGAAGGAGCCCTTCACAGCCTGTCTCAGCTGGACTTGGGTTACATTGACCTCTACCTGATCCACTGGCCTGGCACACAGGGTCTGGTAGTGGGTGACCAACGCAACCCAGGTAAACTAAAGATAAGATTCAAGCTGTCTTCTCACTTTCCTCCTCCACAATGTAGTTGCACTTGAGCAACACTGATGTAGAGGTCCTTATTAATATTTGATTCCAGGCAATCGAGCTCAGAGTTGGGTCACACTGGAGGAGCTGCATGCTCAGGGGAAGCTGAAAGCCATAGGAGTGTCCAACTACACACCAGCACACATGAGAGAACTGATGCAGAGCTGCAAAATCCCTCCTGCAGTGCTCCAGGTATGACACAGAGTGAGTGATTGAAGGAGGACGAATGATAAACATAATGGTCCATAAATACAGAATAAAAAGAGAAAATAATCATGGACTCTATTTTTGAAAGAGCCCATGCAGTGTTTTTATTGCTGTTGTTTGTCCAGGTGGAGTTTCACCCAAGGCTGTGCCAGACAGAGCTGAGGAGTGTTTGTAAGGAGTATGGAGTGTGTTTCCAAGCGTACTCCTCCTTAGGGCAAGGAGACCTGGTCACTGACCCTGTGGTCATGGAGGTGGCAAAGAACTGTGATCGCACACCTGCACAGGTTATCACACAAAGCATTTTGATTAACAGTCTTTTTGGGTCTAATACCTTCTCTATGTTCAATCAATAATTCTTTGAGCACAAACACTTGGGAGACATTTCTGCCTTTCTTTACCCTCCAGGTCCTGTTGCGCTGGGCTGTGCAGCAGGGCGTCCCAGTGCTGCCCAAGTCGTCCAATCCAGACAGAATAAAGGACAATGCCAGGCTTTTTGATTTCACACTGAGTGACACAGACATGGACAGACTTTCAGCTTTGGACTGTGAACACAAGTATTGCTGGGATCCATCAGCAGTGGCTTGATCAATCACTAAGGGAACACACATTGTCTTCCACGATGCCTCTTTAATGCTGCTGTTCTTCACCTCTGACTGGCAGTGATGCAGCGGCGGTCTGTTTAGACACAGACAGCTGAGTTACATAACAAATGCACTGGGGGGGGAAGTACTGATTTAGGTTAATGTATGTACCTAGTTATTTAAGAGTAACATGTTGGACAACACTGGCCAATACGTTGTCCTGTTTGTGAGCCATATGCCATAACATACCAAGAGCATTTCTAGGCAGTACCTATAAGTGTGTTTCCTGCTGACTAAAAAATTATTTACTGTGCCATCATTTTGAGACTATCAGTATTACCATGCATGTTGCCTCATACTGTTCCTTAACGGTACTCTTACAAAGTAGTGTTATGACTTTTGCGTTCTGGCTTTCTCATTTGAAATGTCTATGAAATACAACAAATTTGCTATTGTAAAATTATGAAATGTTCGTAAGTGTCATTTGTAACGGAGACATTTGAGACATTACAGAAGAGACTCACTTTAAAATCACTAAAATGATTTATTCAGGACAGCATATACCAGAAGTTTCACAGCTGTAAAGAAAATACATCTTGTCTGAATGTGCAGATAACCAGCTTTGAAGAACTGTGTTTTAGGGTGAAGGAAGGAGGAGGCCTGCAGTGGCAATGATCACCTAAATGTTATCAGAATCAAACAGAAACTAAAGAGATTAATTTATAATTGATTGATTGTTGGTTCAGAGGGCAACTAAAATACAGAGTGTTAACATTACTGATGATATTTAATTGGTTTAGCTAGCTAGTTAGGACACATTAATTTTTTTCATTTTTAATTTAACTTTATTTTGATAAATTCAGTATTACGCATACTTGTAGGAATATTGATAACTACATTCTTTCAAACAATATAAACATATTCAAAACAAATTCAAAAGAAGGCTATATTAATGCTCAATAAAAAAAATAAAAAGATAATACATGTCCATGGTAAAAAATAAATGTATTTAACCATTTGAAACCTGAGCAACTGTCTTGGTTTCTTTCAAAAACATGGGAAGAAGGCAATGAGCAACAAAAGTGGAGATGACCCCCCAAAAATAGCAAGAAATTAATAAAATGATAGAATTAAAAACAAGAAAATTAGTAACAAAAAAGGAAAAAGGAAAGGAAAGTTAAAAACAAACAAGGAAATGACCTGTAAAAAGAGCTTTAAAATGATAATAAGTCTGACATAAAATCTTAAATATGTTATACTGATAATTAGAATAATAGTTTTCCCTAGCTTTTTTAAAATACTTTTCTAAATCTATTACTTTTTTTGCATTTTGTGCAACATTTCATACTAAGTTGCTCAAATGCCTTTTTCCCCCATGTTTATGAAATAAATTGCACCAATTTGCTCAGGGTTCAGAGGTTTGAATACTTGTGAAAGGTGTCTAAAAGCGGCACAAGAAAAGTGATATCGCTCTAAGGCAGGGTATTTTGAGACTCCCTCAGCAATTCACACAGTAAACCCATGCTGTAGCAAAACAAACTCAGTGCATGAATAACAGAAAACAATTCCATCTTAGTCAAAATACCAGAAATTGTGACTTAGTTTGACTGATGTTTTGTATTTGTGCATCAGTTAATATTTGTATAGACGAAAGATACTTGTTTTATTAATTTCTGATCCAATAATAATGAGGGTGTCTGATTTCCCATTTACATGAATGAAGATTTAGTGTGCATCAAAACGTGATATTTTCTATTTTAATAATTAGCCAATCATTAATATTTTGCCAACGAAGTGCCTCATATGAGTAAACGCAACATTTACATATCTAATAACAGAAATTGTTGGTTTTCTCTCCCGCTCTGTCTGTCTTCTTTCTTCTTCTCCTGATTGGCCAATGCAAGTTTCCGCTTTCCTGTTTCTTTGCCTTCTTTTCGATGTTCGTCAAATCAGCGGCGACATACAGGCGTCACATGACTCATCTTACCGCGTGCAGCGGAAATAGTACGCTAGTTGTAAACATTGCTTTACTTTACTGATATTTATCACCTATTTATTCACTTGTCCTTAAAGAGAATTCATCTGAAAGGGCCCAAGTGGTGAGATATAAATATTAATTTACTGCAACGGTGACATTTAATGGCGTTCTCACTCAGCTCCCTCCCTAAGAACTTGTTGTAACAATATTTAAACTTAGAGCTATACTGTGACGTCCCAGCGTTTAAAACACTACGTATCATACAATGTTAGTACTCACTGTCACACACACTACCACATTGGACTCAGTGGAAATAGAAAACCTGTCTTCACCTAGTGCAGTCCAATACAAACCTGTTACTGATATACTAAAATCTCCCATTTACCCCTCACTAAATTCACTCTCCCTCCACATAGTCTTCAGTAGAACAAACAGTCTAAATACAGGGTGTGAAGAAAATAGATGATGTCTTCGTCCCCCACTACCCCTTCTGTCCTCCTAAATACGGGGGTTCAGATGCCCATCCTGGGTTTGGGGACCTACAAGTTAGTGGGTCCTGAAGACGTCTGCTGGGCTGTGGATGCAGCGCTGGTTGCTGGTTATCGGGCCTTTGACAGTGCAGCCATTTATGAGAATGAAGCTGACCTGGGCTGAGCCCTGAAGGAGCTCCTGCCCAAACATGGCTTAACCAGAGAGGATGTGTTTATCACCAGGTGACGTATTTAAGCTCATACGGCTTCCTAAAGAGCATGGCAAGTCTTTATAAACGTGACCTTTGATGTATTATGATACACAGTGTACAGTTCTCAATATCTCTTTCTCCCTGCAGTAAACTGGGCTCAATGGATCAAGGTGACAGAGCCATGGAAGGAGCCCTTCACAGCCTGTCTCAGCTGGACTTGGGTTACATTGACCTCTACCTGATTCACTGGCCTGGCACACGAGGTCTGGATGTGGCTGACCAACGCAACCAAAGTAAAGAGTTCAGATTGAGTCATTGTTTTCTGTCATGTACCAAAACGTCACAACTGTGTATACCTGTATGTACATTTATGTTAAAAGTAGATGCAAAGCATTTGGAGTAAGTCTTTGCTTTAGCCATATGTATGTAGTGTTTTAGAAATAAATGCTCCACTAAGATTCAAGCTGTGCTCTAACTTTCCTCCTCCATTTTGTAGTGGCACTTGAGCAACACTGATGGTGAGGTCCTAATAAACATTTGATTCCAGGCAATCGAGCTCAGAGTTGGGTCACACTGGAGGAGCTGCATGCTCAGGGGAAGCTGAAGGCCATAGGAGTGTCCAACTACACACCAGCACACATGAGAGAACTGATGCAGAGCTGCAAAATCCCTCCTGCAGTGCTCCAGGTATAATGTATCACAGTGAAGGACGGATTACATATTATACATAAAAAGGACACAAATGAAAGAGATAAAAGTTTAATGCACTCAGTTTTCAAAAGTGCCAATGAGGTGTTTTTGTTGCTGTCATTTGTCCAGGTGGAGTTTCACCCAAGGCTGTGCCAGACAGAGCTGAGGAGTGTGTGTAAGGAGTATGGAGTGTGTTTCCAAGCATACTCCTCCTTAGGGAAAGGAGACCTGGTCAATGACCCTGTGGTCATGGAGGTGGCAAAGAACTGTGATCGCACACCTGCACAGGTAAACACACACACAAAGTATCTTACCATCTTTCTTTGCCAGCCCCTCCTGCTCAGTGTTCAGTAAACATTGTTTTAAAATCAGAAACACTTGGAAAATATTTAGCTCTTTTTTACCCTCCAGGTCCTGTTGCGCTGGGCTGTGCAGCAGGGCGTCCCAGTGCTGCCCAAGTCGTCCAATCCAGACAGAATAAAGGACAATGCCAGGCTTTTTGACTTCACACTGAGTGACACAGACATGGACAGACTGTCAGCTTTGGACTGTGGGCGAAAGTACTGCTGGGATGCATCAAACGTGGTTTGATAGACCACAAGTTGTCTTCCATGATGCCTCTTTAATGCTGCTGTTCTCCATCTCTGACTGGCAGTGATGCAGCGGTGGGAAAACACCACCAGAAAACTTGGGAAATTGGAGTTTAGACACTTGAACAACTGGGCTAATGTATTGAGGATTTAGGTCAATGTATGTTCATCAGTATCTGAGAATTCAAGTAACATTTTGGTTAACATTTGCCAATACACTGTCTTGTCTAATGTGACACATATGCCATTTAGTTTGTACCTACTGACCAAAACAGTGTTTGCTGTTGTTAACACATCTGACATGTGCCATATTCTAGTTCCATACTGAAAGTAATATTATGTCTTTTGTGTTCTAGCTTTTCCATTTGAATTGTTTACCACAATTTTGCAATGATGAAATTATGACATTTTCAAAGTGTCCCTCATACCGGAGAATATTTAAGAATGACATAAGAAACTCACTTCAAAACCACTCTTAAAATTATTTATTCAGAAACAGCATATACCAGAAGTTTCACAGCTGTAGAGAAAATTTACAAAAGTCATTAAAAAGTGAAAAGGAATCCAACAAAAAAAGACAGATATATTAGAATTCAATTTTCTCCACACACATCTCCAGATTCAAGTAATACCAAGGTATGGTTGCAAAACTCCAGGTGCCCAGGCAGGTTTTTCTTCTGGGATGTGTTCACTGTCATAAATGTTAAAAAAAAAAAAGGCAAAACCACAACATGACTTCCTCTGAAATGGGTTTTCCAGCATTAGCCATTATAATGTATTTTCACAGTTGTGACAGTGAACACACCACCACACTATTGTGCTTTTTTTCCTTGCGCGTAATATTTGACAGCGAGCTGTGAAGTTTAAGGCGGTAATTAGGTAAACAGACAAAGGCTGGTTATGTGGTGTCACATTTCAGGTTACAGCATGTTCAAGGCAGTTTAATGATATACTCTTTTGAATTCCATACTCATATGTGGCCTCAAGCTCTCAACACCATGTACATGTTCTCTGCCAGCTGATTCAACTGTACTATTTGTGTTAAAGTACAGATACAGGACTACTGGGGGTGACAGCTATGTTGCTATGACAGCACAATTACTTAAAACACTCATTCCTGATTTCTCTGTTGATGTGTGTGAGAAATCCAATATCATAAAAGTCTAACTGTATTTATTATTTGGGAGCTTTACACCAGATACTTATTCACTTTAAAGGGTTGGCAAAATGTTTGCGCAAATTAGTCTTACACAGTCAGGGTGATGCATATGTTACCAAACATATGGTAGACTTGGATGAATCTTAAAAAAGGTGGTGCCATTCAGATTGTCTAGAATTCTCAGATTTTAAGTGGTCCGTAACCGAGTTTAAAAGCCATAAAAAAGTTTTAAAGACGATACAAATGCATCCAATTAGCCTGCACACCCAAACACTTCACAACTCAACCCTACAAGTCGAGAGGAAGAGAGTAAGACACAAGTAGAACAAACCCATTACCATTTTCAATAATCACATATCGATAAACAAGTCACTAATAGCCTTATCATATATACCAAGTGCAGAAATGCTGATCTTAGTTTATAATTAATAATATGAATAAATAATAAATCCCATATGTGCCAAGTAGTCCTTAAAAGCCTGAATATAATACATCAAAAGCAAGTCCTGCATCAGATCAGCACTCCTAGACCTAAGGCTTGACAGATTACAATCCCCTTTTATTCACATCCCAGTGCAGATCAAAGTAAACAGCCCACATTTGAACTAAGGCTGTGTTCAGACTGCAGGCAAATCCGATCAAATCATTCAAACATACTGTCTGAACTGTTACTTGCAAGTGATCAGATCAGATTTGTGTGTCCTGACATCACTAACCTATCAGCATGGGCTGTTGTATTAACAACACAGGCGTCAGTAACCACATAGGTACACTGGTGATGCCACTTTCCTACATAGAAGCATGAGAAATGGAGGTCTATCATTTTGCCCTCCAAACAGTGGTACCAATTTATTTCGGCATCTGTCCACAAACTGTTGTTCTTCATGTTGCCCTCCATAGCGCAGTCTGAATAAGTGATTTTCCAAAACAAACTCCACAAATAGTTTGGAAAAGTGAAGTCTGAATCCCTTCTAGTTGTGTTTAAATCTGACTAGGCTCACTAAATCCATCTTAGAAATGCACTGGGATGTAAATAAATGGCGCAAAAAGTATGGAAGCAATTAACAGACATAGGTATTTGAATCTTAACTGCCAATGAATACTTAATGTTGAAACTTAAACGCCACTTATTTCATAGCATTGAAATATATATATATATATTTTTTGATTTGCAATTTCAAAAGGTGAATTGGAATTTTTCCCAACAAATTTAGATCCCACATTTAAGTTTCAGAATTTAAAAATAAAATAGATTCAGGTTGCTCAAATTGGATTGGTCCAATTCAGATCTAAAACTCTGAATTTATTTAAAAAAAAAAAAAAAACATGACAGGATAGGCTATAAAGCTTGGATGTTTTGACCAATTACATATGACTGATGTTCTATTTGAATTTTTCAACTTGAATTTTCAGATCTGAATTTGACCAGTAGAGTTTGAGCAACCTGAATCTGTTTTTGAAATTCACATGTTTGGATCTGAATTTGTGAACATAACATATTTTTAAAACCCCCAAAATATATTCAAATTCAGCTTTTGAAATTACAAATCACGAAATTTCGTATTAAATTTCAAAGAGGTTAATTCAGAAACAATACATTTAGATAAATGGTTTTTAAAGTAAAATATTGCAATGATATGAATTCAAATGTCAATATCAAGTATTCAGTGGCTGTTGAAATCAAAATGTCTCTCATATACTTCCGTAAAAAGGCTCGTGTGTTGGCTCCTTGTACAGCAGTTAATTCATCCCTACCCACGTCTTTAAATATGCACATAACATTTATCACAACAGCCATGGATTGTACACTGCCTATTGCTAGGTTGGCCAAACTTATTAAATAGCATGGTAACCTTGTAAAATAGGAACTTGTAAAATAAAATTCTGGCTAAACCACGTAGTCAATAACCCCACCCCTGCAATTTGATAAAATATTAACAAAATATTTACACATAAAAGCTCCAAAGTCTGTTTTTTTTTTTTTTTTTGCTCACCCAAGGCTTTAAAAAGATAGATTCATATTGGTTTGTGCTTTTATATGTATGTTTAATGTCTTCAGATATAATCTAACCCTGAAGTTTTACAAAAGATAGTATTTCTGCATCATCAGAGATTGTCTTTGTACAAGATTGTTCTTCTTTTGATAAATTTGAGATATAAAGCAGTTAATGATAGTCAAGTACAGTTGTTTCAATGGTACTGGTTTACAGGTAGTAAAACAGGAAGCTGGATGAAGGGCCGAGCTGAATACTTTAAAAAATCCTTCCCTTTTACACTCTTTCCTCTGATGCTTGTAGATATTTGGCACACATTTACAGTGGTCTCCACGAGCTTTGTGTTTGTCGTGCACAAACATTTGGAGCAAAACAAGCATTAATAACACACTGACATTGGTTTCCTCACGAAAATGAGGAAGGAAATTCTAACAGCATTCAAGGAGGCCTCAAACAGTCGGGTGTTTTGATTTCAGTGATCTCTCCATCTACAGCATATTGCATAGTGTCGATGGGAGAGATAACTTTTAACTGAGTGGTCACTGCTTCAATCCACTTATTTGCTAGTCTTTCTTTGTGTCCTCAAGAGATCATCTCTCCTCCCTCAGCCTGCCATTTTATCCATTCTATGGGATTCAGATAGCTAACAGTTTATCCTCACGCCTGACTTACTTTTACCATGTCACAGTGGGCTGCCCAGAAATATTGTTAACATCACAACCAACACAATACAAAAAATTCATTTAAATGTGGTTACCAATGACGTATAAAAATGACACGACTACGATGGGACACTTAGCCATCCACTTAGCCATGCCTTCGTGTTTGGATCTCTCTCGCTCTTGTTCAGCCCAGCTTTTCTTCTGGTCCTTCCCAGAGCAGGTCTTTTTTGTTCTCTTGGCTTCCCCGTTGCTTTTCTCTCAATTTTATCGATTCCTCCGTTCAGCAAAGCTTGTGTCCTCTCTCAGTGTCTATTCAGTGCGGTGAGTGTGGTTATCATGGTGGTTGCTCTCTCCCTCCATCTCCTGGTGACTGAAGAGGTAGCTCCACCAGCTCTTGGAGTGGTGCATCTGTTTGGCCGTCCCAGCACTCTTCACCTTCCTCATTTCCTGCATGAAACAGACACAGTGTTAAGTTAAATATAAACAAATCAGTTCTCTTAAGCCCCTCTCCCACGGTACAAAAAACCTACGCTACCATCTGGTTTTTGTATGCAACTGGAAAGGTTCCAGTCAGCACTGACACCTGGGTCAAATGATTCTGCAATAGTCATAAGTATTTATTGGCTCCTACTCAATATAACACACACCCTTTACTGGCAAGATGCAATGACGTGCTACCATAGAATACCATCCATCTTCGTCCAAGCAGCACTCAAACATCATTCCAAATTAGTCTTCACCTTTGCTTTGTACTGTTCACTAACCTGTTCTCTGACTAGATGTGACATTGGACATGACACACCAATAATAATAATAAAAAAAACTCTGCTGCAGAGTTGTGTACATGGCTCAAGTCTATTGGCAATGTGAAAGGAGTCGCCTATTTTTAACAGGTTTTCCCAAGTCTATTTTGGTGGAAAAAGCTAACTTTGTTTTAGGACCCATGACAAGGTGGCTATGAAGTCCCGTCATTATGCCGCCTTTGCTTTTTTCACGCATAACCAAACAGTGGTGGCATTATGCCGCTCCAGTGTGCGATTTTAGACAGCATGCTGACATTCCAGAAGCAAAAGAGACATGAAAGGAATGATGTGTAACACAACAGTGCTGGCGTCAGTATGACAAACAACATACGCATCAGCGGCACTTTCTTAACAATAACATGGCAGTAGCATCATTTATTGTCCCTGTTATGAGGAAGTTAATCTCATCCCCTGCTTGGAGGGTAAGCTCCCGGACCTTGTTGTTTTCCCAATTTGCGGACATAATTAGTTGCTGTACTTTTTTGAGTTAGCTGCTAACTGCTTTTGAAATCTTCTGTAAGCAGGTCGCACACGTGACACGACGTCAAATGGTCACACCTGTCCTATCCATTTTCCTGTCCTGCTGGCTGTACCTTTTACACAGACGTCTATTCGGCGCTGTTACTAACTCAGTTTCTGGCTTTTTAGTTGACACAACTCTTGTTTCCTCTGAACCTTTTATAGAGAACGCTGAGGCTGAATAACTGCAAGGAACAGGCAGTGTAAAAGGGGCTATGGCCTGATCCTTTTCCTTGACCACAACGACATCTAAACATCAGACTGGCAATACGTCATCTAGAGTAATCTTTGATCTAACGCTTAGGTTATTAGACATGTTGCTAAAACAAATGTTTGTTTAACAAGAAATAAATGCATAAAGGGCGCTTTGTGAAGTACCCATATGTGCCGGTTTGATGTACTATCACCACCTTTAAATCACTCTTATCATACCATTGTTTCCCCTTTTCCCCATCTCTCTTTTTCTAACCCCCTTTTAACCTCTCTTCCATTCTCTCACCCCCCTCATTCTCACCCCTTTATCTAGCAGGCTGTCAAACTCGTCGCTCATCCTTCGGAGCTGCCGTCCATATTTCTTGGCTGCCCACAAAGCAGGTGGAGCTGACTTGGACCGCCCCCTGAATGGAAAGCCGTCAGTGGGCGTGCCCGCCTCGTCTTCCCCCCTAGCCTGGAGCTCCTCATCTCTGGAGACAGTGGAAGCATGGGACTCTGAGTTCAGCCTGATTCGACCAGTTGCTACGGGAGACAAAGGTGAGAGGGGTTTACAACATCTCACAGGAACATGATTAGATCAACTGAAGGTGGGGGAAGGAGAATGATGAGGAAATAAAATAGAAATGGAGGAAAAGTAATCACTGGTTATTACTGGAAGAACTTCAAAAGCATAAAACTATGTGGATAAAATGCATAACATCTCTCTTTACTGCTTTGAATAGAGATAGAACTCTTATGCAAAATAGATTAGCATACATTTTAATGTCCCAAAGTACATCACAGTCGAGAAGCAGCAGATGTGATTAGTGCAAAATGAAGCCTAGGTAGATAAGGCCAAGACATGGCAGGACAAAATGGGGGTATAAACAGACTGATGTTGGAGAAAGCAATGACTAAGTGGACAGAAGCACTGACATCAAATGTTTTTTCTCTTTTTTTGTCAAGGAATAGGAACCGCAGACATCAAAAAACTGCAAATATTTTTAATAACAGGCAAACGAGAAGTTGTGGGTTTAACTATACACCTATGCCCTGATGAATTTTATCATATTGTCATGATATGCTGACACACACTGTATGTGAAGTTGGAATACTTGGGGATCTTTAATAACAAACTAATGCTGTTGAGCACATATACTGCTGATAACTGGGACAGAAATACAAACTGTTTTTTTTCTGTCTGACAGAGACTTCTGTCTGTGCCAATCTCCTTTTATGAGAAAGGGTGTTGACAGATGGGGCACGTTTGTCTAAAAGTGAATGCTCCCAGTAACAGGCAGAAGGGTAAATGTAGTAAAAAAAAAGAAAATACACTTTGAGTCCCATCTGGAGCAGGTTGTGGTTAAGGATGCTCAAACATTGGCAGGTAAAGTATAACAATGCTGAGGTAATCCCAGTAGCCCTGTTGCCAAATGTTCTACTCTGCATTCCCACAATTCTCTGAGGTTTCCTACCTGGTGTTCTGAGCTCAGGCAGGGTGAGGGAGTGGCGTTGGCCAAGCTGCTGCTCTTGCTTGGTGGATAGTTGATTATTTTCTCCTTCTACCTCCTCAGATGGGTCTGAATCGCTGTCTGATATAGTGAAGTGTGCAGACATCGTGACATCTGGGGAAGTAGGGTTCACGAAAAATTAGACGTAAGAAGGCAGTAAACCCCCAAATCACTGTATATTGCAGACAGGAAAATGTCCATAAGTAGATACTGTACACAAAGCATCGGTAATAGGTGTCAGTGTAATTAAGACCACAGTTGGCTAATATTAGTGTTGCCCTGCAGAACTAGAAACACATATTATCCATTCAAATGACTTGATCAAAACAACACTTGTTCCCATGAGGCTAAAAAGAACAGCAAGGTGCAAAAAAGTGCCTGTAAGGCCATCGTGATGCAATTTTACTGTCAAACAACACGTTGGCTAATTATTCAAGAATCATAAAATGGCATCATCCATTGTATCGCTGATGCTGCCCCTATCTAACACACCCAGCAGGCTATCTGTTTCTCTTTGCTGTCCCTGCTATTAGCCAGTCCAAAGGTATTCACAGTGTAACAACCGGTGAGATAACCGACTTGTTTTGACAGCACGGACCCACATTTGATGCAATTAACGCCTTGCTGTTACTCTGTCAGTAAAACAAGACAACACACCTTCCTCTCCGGTCAACACACTGACTCGCTTGTTTTGTTGTTGTTGACTGAAGAGGACAAAAGAAACTTCCTAGAGGGCGGAAGCTGCTCGGAAGCTAACTTAGCTAACGAAGTACGCGCAAAAAAAAAATGAATATGTATCCTTACCCGAAATGTTTATAGCGTGAGCCCGGAAAGTGCGAGTGTGTCCTTAGTTGGCCTCGTGCGGCCGCAGCTGTTGTTTTTGTTATCGGCGTCTTGGTCTTTTTACTGTACAATACAGTTTAGCTGCTCGCTCACCCAATCGCCGCGCGTCAATGCACCGCCGCTGCGCGCTGACGTCACTGTTGCGAGCTAGGACTGGGCTGGGGCTTTGTTTGTCTCACCGGCTTACCGTAATGTGCAGTGTAGAGGCGCAGCTGTATTTCATGTGGCCAGAAGTCAGGCCAAACCCATCTGTTTACATTTCAATCAGTGGTGTACAAACAGAGTACAAAGTCTGGAGCTGCTCAGACCGTTTTTTAAAAATTCTATTTAACCTTTATTTAACAAGGAAGTCCCATTGAGATTGAAAATCTGTTTTACAAGAGAAACCTGGTCAAGGTAGCAGCCAATCAAAACACATTTAAAATGCAACAAATACAACATATAAAACAAAAATCCACAATAAAACAACAACTATTCAAACACAGTGGCCTCTCAAGAAAAACAAGCACATGTCTCTGTCACCACATTCTTTATGATGCCCTTAAATTCATTAATGGATATAAGTGTTTCTAATTTTAGATCTTTTTGGAGATTGTTCCATGTCCACGGTGCACAGTAGGAAAATGCAGTTTTCCCCAGATCTGTTAAAACACCTGGAGGAGCGTAGCTGGTAACTACCAGAGCTGACTCACATAAGGGTGCAGAGGTAGGCCGGAAGTTTGCCCAATATTGCTTTATAGATAAAAATATACCAGTGCTGTTGTCTGTGATTGGTGAATGACGTCCAACCCACCAAATCATAAAGAATGCAGTGATGAGTAAGTGACTTACTATTTGTAATAAAACGTAGAGATGCATGTTAGACTGAATCAAGGCTACGTAAAATGGTGGAGGTTGCATGCATATACAATATGTCGCCACAATAAATGGGAGCCTGATTTTGTGAACCACACGATGTTTACTTTCTTATTATAACCAGAGCTTTATTCTATTGTAGTGTTCTCAATTCTGAAAGAGAAAATGTACCCATATACTCAGATCATTCCCCTGGGTGCTCTCACTGTCATCTATAACATCTTTCCCAATTCATTGTTTTATACCCTATAACACCACAAATTTGACTTTTAGCACTCTAGTTTTTGGATTTGGGAGTTGTTCATTTTCACTAATATTTCCAGACTTTTTTAGACCACTGGAAAAACATGTAAATCTGAATCTGCTAATTTACTAGCAGTTTTAGCTGCCCAGTAAATGTAGTGGATTCAAAAGTTGCCTCATAAATGTAGTGGAGTAGAAGTAAAAGATAACATAAAATGAAAATACTAAACTGTAGGCTTCTTGTTCTTGTGTTTCTGATCATATCACATGATCGTCCTCAGCAGATTGAATAAAAGACTTGTTTGTGCTAGCTTTAACGCTGAGCTTCATTCTGTATTCTTGATCTTGGAAAAAGAAGCTGACAAAAAAAATACATACAGACAATCTTGAAAATACTTGTTTGGCCTTGGGTCATTGAAGATTTGTCCTATAGACTCGCCCTTTCTTTCTCTCTGAAAGGAATTTGCAGACAGCAAAAAAACTGAGGCTAAAGGTGAATTGAAGGGAACAGACAGGGAGGGCAGAACCCATGTTACACAACAGTTATGTGAGTTTTGCTTTCGTCAGATGTTGAGGCTGATAAGGAGAGGGTGGGGCAGGAGCCAATATGCATGCGGATGTAAACACAGATTATACGGTCTCTCACTGAGCATGACGTAGCCATATAATCATCCTGTAAAGTAATTTTAATTGATTCATATTTGTGGTAAGACATGTTAAACATCCACTGAACTGATAACAAGAAGGATGACAGGCTTTAACACTGTTAAATCATGTCATATGTTCTTTTTCCCTGTCTTTTCTCCTCTTCCTTCCTGAGACGAAGAGGATAGACCCTGATCAGTTAGCTGTCATATCTTGTGTGAGCAGCAGGTGGAGAGGCAGGACAGCAAACTGCTCTGCTCTGAGTTTTGCTGAGCTGTGTTCCTCTTTGGTCACACTGCCTCATCTCCTGTCACAGGTTTTGTGGTTTCCTGCGAAATAAAAGGGAAAAAATCCCATATGTTTAGTTCCATGTTTAATTGCATTGGACTGATGTAATAACACATTTTACAACATGTGGAAAAGGTTTCATCATGTCAGGGTTGAAGTAGCACGTGCAAATTGCATTATAAAATCTACGTCAACAGGAAAAATACCGTGTTTCTCATTTCCACAAAAAGCTGATGCTGCAGAAATAATGTTTTTTTCCAGCGTGCTGCTTACAAAGAAACATGTCCTCTGTCTCGTATTGTTTGTTCAGGATCATTTCAGTAGAGCAATACTGCATATGGGGTGTGCATGGCACTGTGCACCCTCCTCTGATTGTCTCTCTACTTGCACTTTCCTCACATCAGCGCAGGAGAGTCAACCATGTAATTATCTACCATTTATATCTGCTTCTGTTCCTCCTCTACATCATTCTTCTCTCTCAACCCTCTGGCATTAAGAACCTCTTGTGAGGTGAGAAACAAAATTAGTCTATTTTGCAAAGTCAGTAAGTGACACTCGAGGAGGAGGAGCTGGACTATTTTGGTGGAAACTGTGACGGGATTCAAGGCGATGCCATGCAGCTTCTTATAATTCAGTGTATCCAAATAGAACTAATGTGAGTTTCTAAGATTAGACAAACAGAGTCCGCACAGTCAGCTCTTGGTGTAAGGATGGAGCAGCTCTAGAAAATGACTGTAGAGACTCGCCTCTTTTGAACTCTGTTTTCGGAGGGATTATAGAAATAATACATGAGAGTTCTCTTTTTGGTTGGATTCGGTTGCCATTTGAGAACCATATTATCCATTTTAATCTGTATGTGTATGAGTGTGTGTGAGTAAAGCCATGTGCACTGTGTTTGCAGTATTTAAGAACCATAAAACTACCATCCATAAGAGTGTGTGAGTGAGAAAAACTGATTTCTCACGGTTTCTCGTACACCGTGTTCACACACTTACATGGACACAGGGAAAGAGAGTGTGTGTTTGTGTTTAAGTCTGCTGGATTTCGGTGTAATCTGAAGGAGCCATACAATTAGCATCCATTTATATCCTCCTGTACCAACCTCGCCCTGCCTCCCTGCCCCTCATCTGGCGGTTATTTTGGGAAACGGAGGCGTATGCACACCCACACTGTCTCTAAACCACCACTCAGTGTGTGACTGTGCCTGCGTATGTGTGTTTGTGGCTGTTTGAGAGCAAATGCAGTAGCGTTTCCAAGTGGTTCCCAAAATGTTCCCTTCAATTTAATGCCAGGACACTGTCTGTCTGTCTGCTGCCGCCGCCACAGCTTCACTCACTGTCCTTTCAAACATTTTCCTCTTCTCTGCAGACCCCGCTTCAGTCTGTGCGGGAGCTGAGGATGATGTAGAGTAGGTTTTGAATTATTTGAAGTAGGAGGGCTCGGGGAGAAAGTGGATTTCCCAATTCTAAAAAAGATGAGACGCACACCCGAAATACAGACAGTGTGTACCAGACATGGAGAGAGGGAGAGACACAAAGTAACTCCAAAAGCAACAGATGAAGGATCAAAAGTAAAGGCAGACCAAGAGATGAAAGAAGTGTCTGAGAGTGCAGAGAGAGACTTAAGCTAATAGAGGAGCAGAAAAGGTGGCAGTAAATGTTAAGAGCTTTGGAAGACTGCCATCGAATAAAGAAAAGTCTGAGAGAGAAATCAGAGGTAAGAGACAGGAACATGGAAAGAGCAGACTTAACCTACATCAGAGTGAATGCCCACTCGTTCAACTTCAGCCCTTTTGTCATTTCTCTCAGTACATGCTCATTATCTTCGGGCCGCTCCCTCGCTGTATAACTAAGTCACTCTGTGATCACAAGGCCGACATATGGCAGCTTTCTAATTTAATCCACCCCACCCTTGTGCAGCCTGCCGGTCTTATAACCCAGCACTCCGTGATATGCTAAAGTTCTGGACTAAAAATGGATATCGAACTTTTTCTCAGTGGATAAGAATACAAAAAATGCCCAGCTCAACAAGACATTTGATCTAGGGCTGATGTTGAAATCTTTCTCTTCTTATGACAAGTGAGAAGTCTGTCAGGGTTGAGGAAACTTTTCTTTCCCCCAGTGCAAATAGAGTTGTGCTTCAGGAAGCTCTTGTCTCTTCAATATGCCCAAACGTTAACAGAGTAGTTTGACATTTTGGGATATGCGCCCTTCTTGGGGGACTGCCCATTGTTTCAATGGCTCATTATTCCAAACACCAGACAAAAATGTCCCACTGGACCAAAAGCCCAATTATCCTGAAAACAAACACCCATTGTTTTGAAAATGTAGTCTACCAAACAGATCATCGATCCTGAAAAATGAGGCCAATGTGGAAGTGCCAAAAACAGTTCCTCTAATGGCCACTTGAGGCTGGCTCCAAAACAGAGTAAATCCCCCATGTTAAATGCCCAACTTTACAGCAGAAACAAAACATATTTACAGCCTGGTACAAAAACTTTTTTTGTCTCTTTAGCAGTAGCTAAATATGGTAAATGGACTTGCACCCTTTCTAGTCTTCTGACCTCTCAAAACACTTTAACTACTTCTCACATTCACCTGTAATACACTAGTGGGTGAAGCTACCATACAAGGAACAAACACTCACATGCACTCACAAGCAATTTAGAGTTCTGTATCTTGCCCAAGAATGCTTTGACATACAGACTGAAGAAGCCAGGGATCGAACCGCTGATCTTCTGATTAGTGGACGACCCGCTCTATGTCCTGAGCAGAGGTTAGCTTAGCTTAGCATAAAGACTGGAAACGTGGAAACAGCTTGCCTGCCTCTGACCAAAGGTACATCCACCTCTAAAACTCAATAATTAACATATTATATCTTTGTTTAGAGTAAAATTGTGCAATTTTCCGTAAAGTCACTGATCCTGGCCAAGAAATAGTTTAGCACATAGCCCTCTGTAAAACCACAATTCAACATTTTTACACTAGGATTTTATATGTAATAAATAAATGAGATCTGAGGTGTTACTAGTGACTTTGAGAGGTACTGGTAGATGGATTTTGTTACCTTTAGTTCACAGAAGGTGTAGATTGAA